ATATATTATGTTTTTCATATAAAAGAAGCCATGAGATATTTAAGCTTGTGTGTCTGATTTACTTTACTTAACGTTATGGCTTCAAGGTGCATCCATTTCCCTACAAATCACTCAAGTGTATCCTCCTTTAAGGGAGAGTGGTACTCAGTTGTGTATAAACACCACATTTTCTTTATCTGTTGATGGGCATACAGGCTGTTTCCAAGGTTTAGCTATTATAAATTATGCTGCTATAAACATGGGTTTGCACGTATCTCTGTGGCATGATGTCTTTAACTCTTTTGGGAAGAACTTGTGATCCTCTTGCCGCACCTTCCGAGTAGCTGAGATTATAGGTGTGTACCACTGCACTTGGTTAAGAGTTAATTTTTGTGTATGATGATGAGGGAGGCAAACTTCAGTCTTTTCCATGTGGCTATCGAAGTTGTTTTCATATCAGTTGTTGAAGAGTTTATTTTTTCCCAGTTGAATTATCAAATTGCCCTTAAATGTGTGTCTTCATTTTCTTGACTCTCAGTTCTGTTCCAGTGGTCTGATCTGCATGTCTAGGATCAGTGTTTCTAATGTTCCTCAGGTGATTCTACCTGAATTTGAAGTTGAGAACTATCTGGCTGGGGTAGGGAATTTGGCTAGTTCGATTGGGAGCATAACCCAAGGTTTCTATAATACTCTATTACAGATGTTTAGTTTAGGTCACCGTTCTTCACTAAACCAGGGTTCCCCAAATTTTCCTGATAAGAATTGAGATGATGCTTGCTAACAGCAGCTTTCTGACCCCAGTGAGCTAGGGAGCTCAGAGAGTGGGAGAGAGTGGGGAGGGCTGTCACCGTGAGTGCCCTGTGAGTCTGGCTATTGCACATGGCTCATCTTTCCATATTGGTCGATAATTGATCAGAACCTTTGGAACCTGTGTGTTTAATGAACTCTCCGGGTGAGTCTTATGGTCATACTGGCCTAGAGTGTTTCTGGGTCTACTAGGGCAGCCATTAAAGCCAGTGTGGCCGCACTGTGGTCTGGCCACCTTACTTCATATTGTCTGTCACTAACATGCACAAATACCGTTACACCCACATCTTCCCCATCTCCATTGTTTGTTTTATTTAAATTTCCTTAGTGCTTTGCAAGAATATTGAACTTACCTTGTCTTACCACTTGTGTGAAGTCTTCATGAGGGAAGGGCTTTTTATTTTCGTTTCAGTTGGCTGTCTCACTTCCAGCACTAAGAATAGTGCCTGTGTATAGTAGGCATTCAGTAAATACTTGGTGAGTAAATTGAAGAGAATTGTTGAGGAGTGAAGGGAGAACTTACTTATTTCAGCATCAAAAAATAGTCATTTCTGGTTTTTTCCTTCGCAGTGCTGTGAATCACAGAAGTACACTCTTCTGTCTTTGTATGGATGACTCAGAATTATCACCATATTTATGTCCATTCTAACAAGTGTGTTTATGCTAAGTGGCTTAAGTGTCATTGTTGTGGGTAGCCTTTTTCAGTTGAATTTCTCTTGCTGAATTGTGTGCATCTCTGCAGGCTCTCTAAATCCTCTTTGGAAACTGGCAGGCTGGAAATAAGTGCTGATTAATCAAGTTTGATTACAAGTTAACTTTGATTACAAGTTAATTTCAGTCCTTCCTCTTGCAAAAGCCTGGATTTTAGGTGGGAGAAGTGGAAGAGTTTATTTTTTTAATGAATTCTTTTGTCTTTCTTTTCTTTTAGGATAGAGTTTTTACGTCACTTGAAGAGCTTTTTCCAGATTATGTTTAAAATTGAAACCAAACCATGTGGTGAAGAACTCAAGGGAGGGGATAAAATCCTGATGACCTGTGTTGGTGTTGGCTTCTCTAACCTTAGCAAGACCCTCAAGTGATATCGTCACCAGATAAGTCCCCGATGCCTACATACAAAATAGAAGCTATCAGAGGGACTAAGTACAGATGTATTCTTCCAGGACAGGATAATCTGTATATTAAGGACTTTCTTAATTTTTCATTAAAAATACCATTATACAAATAAAAACTATCTGTCCTTCATGTGGTTTCTAGCCATTCTACCATAGCATTGACACTCCTCGGGGGCCCAGTCACTGGAGATTCCCTGGCTGACTCGGAAAAAGAATGTGTCCAGGACATGGTCACGCTTTGAACAGCAGCACAGTCTGTGCTTCTTCAGTCCACATCCCTGAGCTCCTATCCTGTGGCCTTCTTCCAGCCCTGTGGAATCTGTTACTGTTATTTCTGCAAGGATTTCCTCAGTTTCTATTGTAACTATGTTAATATGCGTCGCGCGGTACCATTTAGAAGTCAGAAATTGGTATATTACACTATCTTATCTCCTGTCTTGGATTGCTGTCACGGACACATACTGTTCCTGTTTGGTTCCTTGTGTATGTGAGGGATGGGTTCCTGGAAGAGGAGGGCAGTTATTGGATGTTTCTAGATGTTTTCTGTCACAGATCTACCATATATTTTCTTATTTCATTCTCACAATAACCCTATGTTACAAGTTGTAATATCTCCATGAGAAAGCTCAAAAAGTTTATTTTATTCCTTTGATATTTATAATGTAAAAACATTAGATCTCTTAAAAGTGTTAAGAGTCAGGGTCTGGAATTTTTACTTATTTGTAAGCCAGTAAGTTAGATGATTATTGTTTCATGGGTGTTGGCAGAAGGCATAAAATCCCTGGCTCAGAGACAGAGAACTTTATTACAGTGTAGCAAGTAACATGGAGTTTCATGTTTATTGCTTCCCCTGTCCCTCAGGTCCCACAATAGGCGAGAAGGGGCCCACGTAGGTGTCATGCCTGCAGTGCTTTTGCATCACAGCCAAGAACAAGTATGCTTGGGAGCGCCACCTCTTTTTTAGCAAGCCTGTTCTTTGTTCCACATAGAGACATTACTTCATCCCTCAAGGTGGTTGTTGCAAACACAATTCTGAGAGGAACTTAACACATTCATGAGGGGACCGTAAGTTGTATGTCTCACTGCTGGGCAGCTCTGATTTGAACATGTGTGACTGTCCCATCGGGTGGCATGGGACACCAGTCACATCAGCAGCATGGGACAGTTTGTTCAAGTCGGTGGGAATGTGTTAAGTAAAGGCTTTTCTAGTAAGAGTATGCAATAATACTTAGGACCCATGGCAAATTGGCTTTTCCAACTAATGAAATTCTACATTTGCTGTATATATGGGGTTGTAGTTGCTAAGAGAGGAAAGATCTAATGTTATTCTCCACCTGGTGTGGGTTTTTGAAGTAAATGAATAGTCTTTGCCTCACCAATGTTTCTTGTGTACCTTTTTTTTTCCTTCAGTGAAAGGGGCCAGAGAAACGCTTGTTCTGGTGACTGGAGGTGTGGGAGGATGTGAGGGAGAGCGCTATTCTGAAAGGCCAGGCTAGTCTGAACTGAGGCACTGGACTGAATGCTTTATACATATAGTGTATTGGTATTCTGCTGGTGCATAAATTATCACAGACTTAGCAGTTACAGCAGTATCCATTTATTATTTCATGGTTCTATAGGTGCAAAGTCCACGTGGGCTTAGTGGGATTCTACACATAGGTCTAACTAGGCTGATGACAAGGTGTCAGCTGGGCTAGGCTTTCATTTGAAGGGTCTGGAAAAGAATGTGTTTCTACCATGTGTAGGTTATTGGCAGTATTGAGGATATGGGACTGAAATCACGATTTCCTTGCTAGCTTTCAGTTGTGGACAACTCCCCATGTACAGAAACTGCCTGCATTTCTATTCACTTGGCTTCCTCTATCTTCAAGCCAGCAGTGGTGCATTGAGTCGTTCTTGTGCTTTGAATTTGACTTGATGCTTTTAAATGACTTATAGGCCGGGCATGGTGGCACATGCCTGTAATCCAGCACTCGGGAGGCTGAAGCAGAAGGATTGCCATGAGTTTGAGGCCAGCCTCTGCTACATAGTGAGTTCAAGGCCAGTCTGAACTACATAGCAAGACTCTGTCTCAAAAGAAAAGAAAAAAAGACTCAGCACAATGGTCGCACTCGAGTAATCTCCCTACTCTAATGAAGGTCAGTTGATGACAGCAGTGTCTAGTATGTGAATAACCATGAGCTAGAAATCCTAGATAGCCATTTTAGAATTCTGTCTGCCATATATACTGTAATTTTATTTAGTGCCACTGATGTTTTAACTCAGATCTACCCACACAGAACTAAGTAGCCACATTTCTTTGGATATGTCAAATGCTGTTGGACAGGGGCCTTCTATCCTCCGGTGCAAGCTTTGAAAATGGTATTGTTGGTCAATTTAGGTGGCACTGGAGGCTAGGCAGGTTGTTGTAAGCAACAGAGAGGATATATGCTCCTTTCCATATGAACCTGCCTGTCTTTGGTAGGGCTGCAATCCTCCATCTGGCATAGCTGCATCTGGAATTCCAACACTGGGTGGCAGTGGTGTCCATATTGTTGAAGAGAACACATTCAGTATTTACTTAACCTGTTTGCAGCTCCATCTCAGATTCTCATGGGAAGCAACACTGTTCCTTGGGCAGAAGTCATCGTTTTGTGGTTTCTGGTACAGATTGGAGACCATTCCACTCCTGTAATCTCTGCTTTGTGCCAGCCTGGAGGAGTGTGCTGAGAGAGATTCTAGCAGTTGGAGGCTTGATTTTCTGTGCGGGCCTGTCTGCTCCTCTGCTGACGGAGGCAGACCATTCTGAGTTACAGCAACAGATGTTCAATAGGACCAGTAAGCTTTTTACACAAACACACCTGCAGCCTTGCATGACAGAATCCTTGTCTTTGCTTTTCTACCATCTGCCAGGCCCTGTGTTTCTTCCAACATCATGATTAGGTTACCATACTTGTCAAAACCCTTGGTAAGGCATAAGAGGAAGTTAGGGTGTTACAACATGACTTGCTGATTGGGAAGGAACATGAGAGGATCTGATGAAATCCAAATTGCCCTTTTACGGCAACTACCCTCATGGGTTTTGTTCTTTATTTTTTAAAAACTTTTATGATAAAAAGTGGTAAAAGTTATCTAATTACAGATCTAACTTAAAACCCTTAGGTTGCAACATGAAGTCTGTCCTTTCTCACTGTCACTGCTGTAACCAAAGACCATGAGGCAGCTGGCCATTTCCCTCTTGGTCTTTCTGTTGGGAGGCACCTAGGAGAGGTCAATGCTGGCAGTTAGTTCTATGGTCACCAAGTAGAAGACTTGAGTGTGCTACAGAGAGGGAAAAGAAGAAGGCAGGATGGAGTCCAGGAGGCTTGAAGCAACTGATAAAATCAAAGGTAGATGGAAAACTGAAGCACCAGGGGGTGGAATTGCAAAGTTTTGGCCGTACCTGAGGTGAGGGTAGGATCTACCTGAATGAGGTGTGGGGCAGGGTGGAGTAAAGAAATGGACTTCCTGGTGTTGGTCAAGGGTGGGAGGGAAAGAATGTAGATGTAGATGTGCATGAGGGCGGTGTTAGCCAGGTTGTGACTCGTGGCAACGCAGAACACAGGCTGGGTCCCACTTGTGTCTCTGTTCCTCGTCCAGCTTCAGAGTGATCAGCAGTTGCTCAGGCTTAGTCAGAGCTCCACATTCAGACACCCTTGGACTGTTCTTTAGAAGTGACTCATAGTTAATGGAAATGTCAGTAGGCAAGCCAGGCTTTTTTGTACTTCTGTTGGCCACGTCTAAGAAGCCATTTGCGTGGAATAATTTATAAGTGTTCGACATGTCAGAGGAATGGCCACATCTCTTTCTTAAACAAATGGAAGCTGTCATTCTGTCAAGTTCCTTGATTGTAGGATTGCTCTAATTTCTTGTCATATTTGGCCCATACTTGTCAGATAGTTTGAGAATAGGCCTTGGGTGAGCACATGTTTTAAAACATCCTAGGTGTTTCTGACATTTGAGTTTTTGAGGGTCCAGGTCATAATTTATTCCTCTGTATTTCCTCCCTATTCCAAACCTTCCAAAGAACCTGTGGACATCTAAAAATATTCAGATTGGTTATTAATAATTTCTGCTATATTTTGGGAAATGATATATTCAGACTGATGAAGGCAGGTGGATTTATAGAAATCAGAAGCCAAATTAAAGATGAAAGATAACCAGCCCAGTGATAACACATGGCCTTTTCATGTGTCTGTCCTCTTGAGTACCCTGTCACCAAGGCTGTCATGGAATTGTAGGCTGCTCTTGGACGCTGGTAGCCATGCAGCAAGCAAGTGATATACTCCAAAGGAGAAGGCAGGGGCAGCTGCCTCCTCCGCTGCCACCTGGGAATGATGGGATATCCCAAAGCTGTAGCAGGCTTTGGGGACGAATATTAGTGGAGGCCACATAATTGGACATGGTATTTAGCTTTCTTCATGGAAGGATCCAACTTCAGTTTGACAGTCCCCTCAGGGTGTTTTAAGTGCTGAATGTACTCGGTTTCTGGACCTTTCCTGTGCTCCTTTCTCAATCCTAAACTCAGTTTTGACTAATTTGTTGTTTTACTCATTAGGGCATAAAAGGACCCATGAAAATGATTGTAGAAAGCCCAGGAAAAATACTGGTTACAAATTATGCAAAGAAAAGAACAAAAATAATTAAATACCCACAAAATAAAATACATGCTCTCTAGCTTAATTGTTAAAGTATTAAGAACAATGTAAGTAGTAGTTTTTTCCACAAGGATTTCTAAGTACAGTGTTTGTGAAAGAATCATAGCCAAATAGATACTAAATGACATGTTAACCGCCAAGCAGTTTAAAAGGAAAAATTATTATTATTATTATTACTATTTTCTTTTTTTGTTTTTTGGTACCAGGGATCAAACTTGGGTCCTTGCCACTTGCACAGCAAGTGGTGGAACCACTGAGCTAAATCCCCGGCCGGCCCTGGAAAAATTATTTTTTAAAAAATGGAAGCTTTTGTTTCCCTGAATTTCAGCAGAGCATTGTGGACACAGCACAGGCCTAGGAGTTAGATCTCTGGTCGAATCCTAGCTGTGTCCATAGTACAGTATTGGCCCAGCCGCTCATCCTCCTGACTGGATCATATC